CTTACTCTTCTCAAACTACACTATGGCATCCAATCTCAAATAATAGCAATCGATAGCCAAAACATTTCTCTTCAAAACTACGCAAGGCTCCGATCTTCATCTCCTTTGGTTCCGGAAATACAGACGTTTTTCAAGGACACACCTATCTCGCTGCAATTTAGTGAAAAGCCGGTTTTTGGCCTGTTACCGTCAAAAATCAAAAACCGTATGTTCATTCATCACTCTCGTCCAGAACGGGTGAACTTTTCATGGAATGATTAGCAGAGATCATAACATGCAGACTCAGTCGAAAAAATTACATACGGTTTCCAGTTTATGGATACGATTTTTTAGCGGATCTCTGGAAAATCTCCTCATATCGAATTTATTCTTTGGCTTTTCACCAAACTGGGTTTTCTGGAATTGTGGTTGAGTGGAAAATAAGAAGAGAAATGTTTTGGCTATCGATTGCTATTATTTGAGATTGGATGCCATAGTGTAGTTTGAGAAGAGTAAGCTTTTTTTCGCATTTTGTCTCGAATGATACATCATGGCAAATTTGATCGGGAACGCTGATTTTTTCATAGGTTTACGTCCCAGAGTGTCTAGTTTCAGAATCTGAAAAACTGTAGGTCTCTAGGTATGTTCGTTGAAAAATTATAAGCATTCTTTTTAAATTTCGATAGTATTATATCAACGTCTGTTGGAAGGGACCGGCGATTGTAAAGGGTTAAGAAGAACATATGACTAAAAACCTAGGCAAAAGTCTCTCTCACGTACCTTCAAAAGGAAGTTTTGTGATTAAATTTTGATAGTAAAAACATTGCTACAAAAGCCTGCACTTTAATCTGAACCATCCTTGAGAACATGTTCAATAACAATACTTTTTGACATGACGCTGATTATGATCATATGGCATAATTCTATGCTCTCTTCATGCTCATTTGAAAGAGAGATGTTTACTCTATAAGATCATGTATTTAGACACGATAATATGTTCAACTATGTAGGACTAAACAACAGAAAACTAAAATATTGTATATTTTTAAAATTCCGTGTTTTTTCATCAGTTTCTAAATATAGACCATGTGTACGGCAGTACCAAAATAAATCTTACTTCATTTTGTAGCACAGACAATTCTGCACATTTTAAAACACTACCATGATGTACGATTTAAATCATATATGAGAAATAGGCATAGGTTTCATCATTGTCTTAGTTTTCTAAATTTGAGACAAATCTCATAGATCCAGATATAAAAAAGTTTTTAAGTTATTGCAAGTGTAGAGCGAACATTTCCCTACAAAGTGAGACCTCAGCGAGCTCTTTGCAATGTTTTTTTATGATTTGACACGCGTTTTCCGACAAGCACTGTATTTGAGGCCGGTCGCCTACTCGTTTTTACCTGAGTTTTTGATCCATTGACCACACGTAATAATTTACATATGATTGAATAGATCATCGAAAGTTACATCTAGTAGCATGTTTTTTTTATCTGCATAAGTTCATAGTAGTAGCGAAAAAGATTTTTTAATTTTGTACAAATGGCTGGGAATGGGTATTAAGTATGGAACAAGACATGTTTCTCTACTTTTCACAAATGAACCTTTTCAGTTTTATGTTTAAAAACTGCAGATGACTCAATTCTAGCTACTTATGTCAGAACTTGATGAAAATTCTTCTCTCCTAACCATCTAAAAATCTTATATTAAATCTGCTCGCGGTACCTGTCATGAGCTTATCTGACTTCTTTTTAAAGAAATCTAGTTTAGATGGCTAGGAGAAAAGAATTTTATCGAGTTTTGACATGAGTAGCTAGCATTGAGTCATCTGCAGTTTTTAAACACAAAACTAAAAAGGTTCATTTATGAAAGTAGAAGAAAAATGTCTTGTTTCATACTTAATACCCATTCCCAGCCATTTGTACACAATTAAAAAATCTTTTTCTCTCCTACTATGAACTTACGCAGATAAAAAAACATGCCACTATATGTAACTTTCGATGATCTATTCAATCATATGTAAATTATTGCTTGTGGTCAATGGATCAAAACTGAAGTAAAAACCTGTAGGAGAAAACGTATATAAAATGTTTCTTTGCTTCTCCGCATTATTCATTTTTTTCAATAAATGGGCTTAATGAGGTCTAAATTGTTATGATCTAAACGCTAAGCTTTACCAGAGTAACCCCCATGTTTTTCTTGGAGAAAGTTGATGAAAATATTGTTGGTTGCATTGGGACGACGAACGTATATGAAAATTTGATCATCTTTTCTAAAGAAAAGGTTTTCGAAGATCATTGATATTTGTAATCATCATGGTTGGTTACATTGTACGGCGCAAAGATCTCATCGACGTATCCGCATTTTTTAATAAAGATTTGCGCGTTAAGATTTCAGATTTTCCTATACTGCAGTTCTACTGGGTTCGCCGTCGAAGGAAAAAGACGAGAGCGGCAAAGCAAACGAAAATATCGTTAGTGTTTTTATAAATTAATTTATGATTTATTATTCAGTACGTTTTTAGAGAACTATCAATACTCACTTATTATACGTCTCGTTTGCTGGTTCGCAGCTGTTGATTTTTAAGAGGATAAAAACAACTACAAGAACTTGTTTTCTTTGACTCCTTGATTTCTGTTAGAAAAAAGGTAAAGATGTATACATTAAGTCCGAGAAAAACAATCAATCAAAGAATCATTTATAAAAGGATCGTTGAAAATGTTGATGAATCATTAATCGTCGAATGACAAATTTATTCTGTTCGATTCATTTACTTCGATCATAGTTTTGACAGCCTCCCTAAATTCTCCGGAAAAGTACTACGCTCTCACCATGAATTTTCCCGAATTTCATCATGAAAGTCAAAAATCAGACATTTTTATTCTTGTAGATCCTCTCGATACCATCAATGGAAATTTTCAGTTTAATACTACCTCGTAATTCATTCTACTGGAAAACTTCTCTGTTTTTAGAGTGATATCGTGCCAGTAAAACGACACACAAATTGGTTGACGGCTGCAATTATTGAAGAATTAGAGTACGAATTACCTCCTCAATTTAATAGTTCAACACATCAACATAAATCATCCTCACATAAAAATTCAATAAATGTATATCAAAAATACTCAAGCAGTAAATATTTTCATCCATTCTTGAGTTCGCCTAATGAATTATTACAACTTGAAATTCAACAACTACAAGAACAACAAACCCAACCTGATATTTTAATCCAATCAACTAAGCAACCAAACAATAATAATAATTATACAGCTTCTTATTGGCATGCTTTACTAAGTAAACATGCCCATATTAGTTTATCATGCTTAAGTGTTTTAACTGAATTAGAACATGATATGAAATTTGAATATCAATCAGGAACTGACCATTTATTCATCACACATAATTGAGGAACGATAAACATGTTCAAATCTGACTTTTTTTCGTTAGTTTAACAACATTTTTCCACACAAAGTGCGTTAAAAGACAGTCTGAACAAAAATGTTCCAACAACACTCCTTTTTTATGTTTAACATACGAAGTTTTAACTCATTTAGCTGACTGTGATGATGAAGCATTCACTACAGGCAGCAATATAGAACGGTGAATGGGTCCTTTTTTCCAGCATCTTACGACATTGATGAGAGAACAATTTTTTATTATAAATCAGTTGCTGCTTAATTTTGTCGGGCTTACGTAGCAGAGACAGGAAGGCCCAAGTCATATGTTCAGACTTGACATAGCAAAAGTGGGCTTGAACCTGTAAACTTGAACTTGAAGAAGTAGATCTCGGCCTGATGGGCCCGAACCTGTGACTTAAAGTCTTAGATTCGTATTTAAATATCGATCTACCTTGTGCTTCTAACATATTCTAAGAAATCTTCTTGAACTCTAGTACAGAATATTGCAAATTCACACTACTCCCAGAATTTTTTAGATCAGGACCAGATCCGAGGCAAAATTGTTCTTTTTATCGAATAACAGTAAACCACCTAAAAGTTAGACTTTCTAGTTTCTTCTACATTTTGACCTTGACTCGTACAGACCACAGGTCCAGGTATCGTGTCTCTGTTACTTAGGCAATAGGAGAAAAAAGATTTTGCTTTTGAAAATATAGCCTCAAGTGCCCTTTTTAGATTGCTGAAAATGGCGAGTAAGATCTATATTTTATTTCGTCTGTAAATATCGATAGTAATAAGAAACATACAACAGCTTTTAACCAGTAATAATAGATAGTATTAAAAGAATTATGAATTATATATATGAATAATACTCGCAATTAACATTTTAAGTTAGAATTCAACTATATTAGGCAAACAAGTTATACTTAAAATTTACCATTTGATTTAACCGTTACCCGTTATTGATAACGGTAATGCTTGAATCGTTACCCTTTACTAGTAACGACTACGAAAAATCGTCACCGTTACTTGAGTAACGTTGATAACGGCCCACCCCTAGTGGTTATTCAATCAAAACAGATCGAAAGATCATGCTTTTCATTCACAAGTTTTTCTAGATAACCTCAAGTTATCTGGTGCACGTTTTTCTATGTTTTCGATTGTGTTCTTCCTCATTCTCACAAAACAAGTCGGTCGAAATTGGATCATGAAGCGCTAATGCCCATTTTCCTTGAAAACTGTGAGTCATCTGACAGAGCATTTCTAGGCTACAAAATGGCATATTCAGCCTATCCATATTCAGTCAAATAGCGGCATAAGATTCACAAAATACAATAATCAATTTGAGTATGTACGTTTCCGGCATGTCACTGTTGACTGCATAGGATTTGTATTTCGCACGAACTGTTTTCGTATGATTTTGCAGAGAATTGAATGAAATATCTTTTGAAAAATGGTTCAAGTCTTAACTACCATAACTAACAGAGAAAAGCGAAAATCACAAACAGTGGCATTCTTTATGGAACACCCGTTCGTTCCTTTCTGTATGTTTGACAAAAGAAGTGCTACAGTTTTCTTTACATCCGTCAATTCAATTATCAACTACTTTCGGTCATCAAATAACTTGAATAGTTGCGTACTAAGTACTAAGCAATCTTCTGAGATGCAACGAGCAAAAGCTTCTGAATGAGCGCCTTCTATTCTGGAAGAAGCAATTAGACACATGCCAAAAAAGCCTAAAGATGCTGACTTTCAGGGGCAGCTCCCGAAAATTTTTGTAAATTGCTATGCAACGTTAATAAAAGAAATTTTCTCATTGATAGCATAGATTTCTCAGGCAATGGTACCTAAAGGTGCAGTTGCTTAATGAATAATCATTCCATTTTTAATTGTAATAAACTAGGTATCAGTTGATACTTTTGGGTCAAAATTGACATATAGTTTCCCAGCTCCTGTTATAGTTAAAGCTGGTTTTCCTAAAACCGGGGTCTCTGGAGATTCTTACGCAAAAATCATTGTGATATTCGGAATCAGCCTCCTTGATTATCCATAGTCCACTAAGATTTAGTCCAAAAGCGGTGAAACAGTTGGGGGCCTTCTCTCGTTAGTTAATACTTCAGTCAGCACTAAGTTAGAAAGCTGTTCTGTATACAAAGTGTAAAGTGAAACGGCTGTTTTTCATAATTCCATTGCTAAAAGAAAAGTAAGAAAAATTTGCGGTTTCCCAACTCAGCAATCGAGGTTACTTTACGTTCTTCAGTGAAATAAACGTTGCGACGTTTGTCACGAGCATCGATTATCTATGTATTCTGTGTTTTTGAGATTGTTATACTAGAAGAAAGTCTAATCCTGGTGGTTTGGGAAAAATCGTGTCTGCTGAGAAACCAAGCAAAACTAAAACATCGCCTGGATCTCATTTTATAGAAGACACTTCAAACTATCTGTCGTAAAATAACCAACAGATTGCTACTTTAATTTTTGGAAAACCAGCCTTTGAAATGTTTTCAAAACTAGTTTTTGCTGGCAAACGCATGTCTCAAAGTCATGGCTATATAATGCTGAAAAACGCAGCTTTTGCCTCCTTTCAAATTAAAGTTCTTCAAAAAACAACCAAGCAGGTTATATTTTAAAACGGATAGTAGTAAGAAAATAATAGAGAATTTTCAATCAATCTTTACTTAACCTAGGTGGTGACCTAAACTCGTCAGAAAATAATAGAGAATTCGCAGTCGATTGTGACCTGAACCGGTGGGAGAAAAGAATAAACATTGTAAGTCTATATCCAGTATGAAGACATGTCACATACCAAACAAAAAAAGTAAAGAATTGTCCATGATCTCGACTCCCGGTCCGCATAAAAACTCGCAGTTTGCGAGTTTCTGGCGACTGGCGAGAAAAAAAGTGGACGAGTTGGCAATGACTCGTCACGGCGACTAACGGATATTTTCCCACATTTCTCTATTCACTAACCTTTTTTTAACTCGGAGTTATGGGAATTTTCTCAGAAAATTTGGCCGATTATGCGGTTGTATTAACACTTTCAATATCGTTTCTTCCTTCATCTTCATGAGTCAGACATGATAATATCTCTCTCCTTCTCACCGATAAGGATAATAAGTTCTGCGCCGACAGTAGAAGAAAGAGAAGAGAACAGAGAGAGACAAGCATAAATTACGATTCTTTTCTTGCTCTCTGTCATAGAAAAAGAGATATGGTTAATAGAGTTCCGAAGAAAGAGACATTAACGATACTATTACTACTACTGTACTATTGCTTTTCTAGCGTAATTATCAGAACAGAATTTACTTCAAATATGATTCAGCGAACGTGCTATCTTGTGAAATCCATGTAAGACAAGTATAATAGTCAGCCTACTCTGCGCGATGGCTAGCTAAGTTGCTTTCAGATCATCAGTATACTGCTTCTCACCTAAAATAACAAATGTCTCTTTCTTTCTCCTTTCTTTCAGAATATTATGACTCACAATGAATGATCCAAAACTACACTTTCGTGCAGTTCTGATCGATATTTTAGATCGTCTGAGTGATAATGAACGACAAAAACTGTCATTTCTCTCAGGTGAAGATATTGAACGGAGAATTAGAGATGATCCAACAATTGGTGGAACGTTGAATCTATTTCAACAGTTGTTTGATCGACAAAAAATTTCGGAAGAAAACTTTTCCTATCTAATTCAAGCATTTCAAGCTATTAAATGTCATGAAGCAGCGAAAAGTTTGACAGGTATGTGTGCGGTAGCTGTGTTTTATCACAGAATTTTGACTAGTTCATCTGTTTCATTGTCTCTTTTTGTAGAACTTCAAAAGAATTTATTGAAAAACCGTCTAGCTTATGACTCCGGAAGTGATCCGTCAAATAGCGCTTTGATTAGCACTTGTTCTACTGCTGCTACGAGCAGCAGCAGTCCTCACACTACTACAAACAGTGATTCTAGTTTCCTCGATGAATGGATAAAGGATCAGCAAGAAGAGAAAATGAGTTCAAGGCATATTTCACGTAAGTAGTTCAAGAGACGCGAAGAGGGTTTTCGACTAACTAAAGAAATTATTGTGTTTCTTCTAGAAATGGCTGATAACTTCAATCAAATTACAAATAACAACACCAAGATTCCAATTTCAGTTGTTTCAGTGTTAACACCAGCAGTTGCACAAGTACAAACGGCTCCTTCACTGTCACGCATAAGGAAAATTGAAAACATCGATTCTTCGCAAGATGGTATCTATTGCAGTAGAAAGCGTTTAATTTTTATGATCATCATAACAGTTCTCTTGCTTCTATTGATCTCAACAATAGTTTTTCTGTATTATCAGAAATCTATCTCGAAACCACCAATAACAACTCCGTCTTCCAGGCCAATGTCCTCGACTTACACTTTGCCACTATCATCCCGTTCGTCGAGAAGGAAAACTACATCTCCCATCATATTAATAACAGACAGTAATGAAGAGGAAGATAAATGTCGATTGCCACATGGAAACTCCTGCACCGACTCGACTCCAAAGGAAACCGAAGCAAGTGGCCTAGGAGTCTACTTTCAGCATCCTTGTGATGGAGTTGGATGCGGATTTTTGCGGCCAGAATGTCGACTTTGTTGGATTGATCCAAAAGCACCAGGAAAAATGGATCGTCTAAAATGTCCAAAATGTGTCATTGATCGACAACGGAGAGCACGCATCAAAGACCCAAAATGTCAACTACCTGTTGGAAACTCGTGTACAAGCTTGACGCCGAAACACACGAAAGAGGAAGGTTTAGGAGTTTATTATCAAAATCCGTGTGTTGGTGTTGGATGCGGATTCCTTCGGTCGCACTGTCGTCTTTGTTGGATCAATCCAAATGCAACTGGTAGAATGGATCGTCCACAATGTCCGAAAT